ACTGAGAAGGTCAAATTGTTTCTTTTCTTGTTGCTGCTGTCCTTGAGACCGGCCTACAACAGGAGACTACAAACAACATCCAAATTAGCTAAAACCAAACTGATGTTTTACCAAATTGGCTTTTACAAAATGCTAAAAAGAAAGAGGACAGACTAAGCTTATTTAAGTCATTTATTCTTGAAGTTCAAGGTGCTGCATACAGCACAAACCTTTCTCTTGCAGTAGGAGGAAGATGTTACTTTACAATACTATGGCAGCTTGTAAGTGAACTCTGCAGCAGACTCTTGGATTAAAGTATCATACAAGGAGAAATTAGCAGCTTAAAAGCTGCAGTGTCAAAATTATGCATTTCCAACTGTAAACACTGTTCAAATGTGAGCAACAGAACTTTATTTTACAAGTTAGAAAATAGTTATTCACTGCATTCTGAAGAAGTTTTCAGAATTCAGCGCAAGGAAAATACTGAGGAACATCATAGGAAGACTGCAAGCTCCAAATTTCCACTGTGAGTCTGTAAAAGGTCTGCTGAAGAACTGTCTGCACCCTGAAGGTAAAAACATTTTTTCAAAAGACATCTTTTCTTTAAAGTATGTACATAGTGTTGTTTGTCTTTATACAACAGCATACAGAGGCTTTCTAAACAACACTTGGTAAGACAGCCACAGAATACAGAGAAAGTAATAATGAACATGCATGTTTCTCACATATATGCTCTTAACCATGAAATGAATGAATGTATGTCAGCCATTTTGTTTCTTAAAGCAAAAAAATACTTGAAATACAATGCACTAGATTCGGCATATTGACATATTTAAGCAAAAGACAACTGTAATTAGACTTGCCAGTCACTCAAAAAAAAATCTGCGTTTTGAAAATAATCATGAAAAAAATCATTTTTATTCCTATAGAAACAACTTTAAATTTAGAACCCGACCTGTAAACAACTATATGCTTCAAGAATTCACATAAAATAAGCTTAAATGGTTATTATATAAAAGCTACTACTGCAAAAACTCCTATGCCACTGAACAAGAAAGAGATATACTACTGAACAGTTCTGTCCTTTTGTTACTCACCTGGCTAGGTGTGCCCTTGTTTAAGTGCAGTGCAGGTGCAGCTTCTCCCAAGAGAGATTTGAGGGGCTTCACCTCAGGTGTGCTGCTTGTACTACTAGCAGAAGACCCCGATATGGATGCATGGACTGATGCCACAACCTTTGCTTGCTCTGGAGGAACATACCTACATCCAAAGGAACAATTGTTTTTACAAGTTTAGCATGAAAAGTTCTGTCAAACATCCACCAGACTCAGGCATGAAAACTGGTAGATCTCAGCTTTGCTGTTCTAACCACTAACCAAACAACAAACCATCAGTAGTTTGCAAAATGCCCGAGCTAAATGTCAGAATTTTTTTTTATGGACTAGAATGCCAAGTCATTCATTTTTAAACTTATTTTGTTTGGAATACAAACCACTCACACCTTCTATCTCTTAAGAAAAGCCCACATGACTCCTACCTTACAGGGCTGTTGAAATAGAAATGGCTTAAGATAATGTCATCAATATGAACTACACACTGAGAAAGTTCTTTAAATACTTTTTTTTCCCCTCTTGTGCTTTCCTTAGGATCTATGAATAAAAGTTCAATAAAGCATTTTACCCTTAGAATTATGCAATCTAGTCTAAAGAACACACAAAAGGGAAAGCACACTCAAGAATAACAGTCAATATTTACTTCTTGTCAGAAGCAAACACTGTAAATTGCAAAGCTATCTTACCATCTTTTCTTCTCATATTTTTCCTGTAGAAACTCCTTAACTTTCTGTGGATCCCTGAAGTCTGGAATTGCTGATGATCTATCATCAAATAGGCCTAGCCAAATCTGTTTGCACACCTTAGAAGATTAAAAATAAAGATGACTGGTTAATAACAGAAAATATCTTAGTTCAAAACCTATTGAAGTTTACAATTGCTAATCACAGAATCACACAGAATCACAGAATCACCTGGGTTGGAAGGGACCTCAAGGATCATGTAGTTCCAACCCCCCTGCCTAGCAGGGCCACCAAACATCCACATTCAGATCAGGCTGCCCAGGACCCCGTCCAACCTGGCCTTGAACACGTCCAAGGACGGGGCATCCACAACCTCCCTGGGCAGCCCGTTCCAGGGCCTAACTACTCTCCTTGTAAAGAACTTCCCCCTAACATCCAACCTAAATCTTTCCTCCTTCAACTTGGATCCATTTCCCCTAGTCCTGCTGTTGTCAGCCCTTCTGAAGAGTTTACTCCCCTCCTGGGTGTAGGTTCCCTTCAGGTATAGTGTGTGGCTGCACAGTTTTTGTTCCAGATCAAGCTTCTGGTGCAGCACGTTCTGGTCTAAATACTTGAAATCAAAAGACCATCTGTCTCTGCAGGGCAAGAGAATCCTAACGTCCAATTTCACTGGAAAACATTGCTTTCGCAAAGTATTTGCAATATGTTTTCATAAAATTGTCCCTCCATCTGAATGCTTCTTATGATGAACTTTAGCCCTTCTGTTTCACTTATTTCTCTACACAGCATTACTTGTACTTCACAGTTTGGAATCTGTTGAAGCAGATTGTTATATCATGAAGTCCCAGACAGAAGCTTTAAAATATTCCGATTTTACTATTTAAGATACTGTCTGGATATAAGATTTTTATTTCATTTTATTTTTAAACAGTCTTACCTTTCTCTAAACTTTAGATATCATTTTGGTATTAAATATTTTTAAGAGGCCATCTATTAGAGGAGAGGGAAAAAACTACTTTTTCTTTGATTTCATTTTTTAATTGCAGTTGTGAGTTAGAAAGAGTCAAACCAACTGCAAAATACGTTTCAGCTTGAATTCCTGACAAAAAGGAAAGGTGACTGTTCTTGAAACCAAAAAACACAGAAGTTTTTGTACTGTTAAAAATCAGCACTTACAAATACTCCATAGGTAACCTGAACATTCATCTGAACAGCATACCAGACATTAGCTAACCCCTAGAAACAGACACTGCCATTTTAGATGAGATTTCTTCCAGAGAAGCAGAGTCAAAAGACTTACGATGCACACCTTTCTTCCCACACCATTTCTGAAACCATTCCGGCCATCCCTCTAAGCCTCCTACAACTGCTCTCTTCCATCCCTGCAGTAGTATCAGGCCTTCAGAATCATCTCCAATGACCTTCAGAGGAAGCATGTAACAAGTATAGGAGCTGCACAGACTGACTGCCTTGAAAGCTGTCAAAAAAGGTATCAGCTGTGCTACTTTCACTACATCACTTTCCCAATACAGGCACTAACTCTGGTTGGCTGGGGGCGGGGAGTAGTGGGAAGGTGAGGGTGAGAGGGTGCAACTTTTTGTAGCCACTTCACTCAAATTGGAGCAACTTATCTTTGGAAACACTGGCCATCAAATTTGATCAGTCATTTCAAAGATTTATCTGGACTAGACAGACAGCATAAGTCATATTTCACATTTGATGTCTCAATTTCATTCAGCTTGATTAAATCTAATACTCCATTGTTTACTAGATAAGGGCAAGCAATGAGAAACATTTAAGAATCAAAGGACAGCTAAGTTAATGATTCAAATACTCATCTAAAAATAACATTAGTAGCCTTTATTTCAAAATAAGTTCATCAGTTATGCAGTACTCATTTAACAACTATATTTCAAAGAATTAAGTTTAATATACTGTTCAGAGTTTGCAAAGAAACAGTCATCACTTACTACCTGGTAATAGATGAAATGAAACCAAAGATAACCGTGTAATACTTCTTCATATGAATAGGTTACAAACCACAGACTTGGTTGAACTCAAAAGCCTGCCCTAAAATAACAGCTAGGAGCATGAAGCACTATTTTACACAGCAACAATCCTTCAGTCCATCTAAGCATTAATTCCACTGACAAAGTACACAAACGGAAAACATTTACAGGTCTAGCTTCAGAAATCTGTAGATGATGCTCTGATGTGGGCCAGCAGTAGCATTTTCACGTTTACATTTGTACAACTGTACCAACTAGCAGCCAGCTGACTGCTAGGAGCAGAAAAATCCTGTTCCTGGAAAGATACAGCAGGAATTGGTGTACTGGAATTCGCACAGTTGCTGAGTCCCCTACTCCCTTCCCCAGTCCCAGCTTCAACATTTCAAGGAACATCCAGAAGCACAGATGGAAAGAGCTGTACCTAATTTTGGACAAACTCCTGCTTTATCCTGCGACTCATACAAAGGGCTGTACACTGATCAGCAGCGTGCACCCAGCCTAAAATAAGATAATGAGCAAAAGAGGTGTTGCTCCCTACCCATTTCAGGCTGCTGAATTCTTCCCATTTCTTCTACTACACCAAAATCAGATCCAAGAAACTTATCATAATTGCCATGTCACTAGTAGCAAGGAAACTCACTGTGAGATCAACTCAAATTCAAACCACGGGGTTTTTTGTTGTTGTTGTTTGCTTTCATTTTTTAAGTTCCTCTTCTGCCTCATCTCCACCCTGAAGTGCCTAAGCATTCAGAGGGTGGAAGAATACTGCCTCAACTATCCCCTGAGCAATACTGGCTATTTCTAGGAGAAAGAGAGATCCTTTACAACTTTGGGTCATTACCAGCTACGCAGCCAGAGGAGGCAACAGTTATATGTATACAAATAACTGTAGGACTATACAAGGAGGACTGCACTGTCCAAATACACTGCTGGTTTAAAATACTTGATGTGAGCTTCTTGAGGGAGTTGCTTCTTGCATGTTGAACCTTCAAGCTTCCAAAAACATTTCCTGGAGCAACTAATTTCTAAGCACTTTAACACAAAAGCAGTAACTGAATATGCCTTAAGTCATTCTAACAACTAATTAAACCTGGCGGGCACCCTTTATTGGCTCTCTGTCACCAGAAGCAAGAAGAGTATTTCTAATACTTGTATTAGAGGGGAATACCACAACACATAGCACCCAAGCAGAAAAACCCACATTTAGTCTCACATGCTTCAGCAAGCAATGCTCATTTATTCAACAGTTTTCACTAATATTTCTACTACCGTTGAACTTTCACACACCTTAGTTTCTTTATATAAAGGATTTGTAGAGAGTAAATAAAATGGGCTGGAAATCTTAAATACAAATGAGTCTTTTTAGAAAGCCTTTTTTTTTTTTTTTATAAAGCTTTAGTATCACATGAGAAACTAATAAAAGACACAGTTATGTCTATTTCTGTATGAAGTACCACCCAACGCTTTGAACATCAGCAGCCATTGGGAGCGAGCACAATAAAAGGCCCGTTGTCTTTGCTTGCTTGCTAGTGACCTGTATGCTCTTTCTAGCTATACTTTTGTTACTATCATCTGACTTGACAGGGATCCACAATAACACATTGATTATGCTTCAAGCAAGCTGTAAGAGACCATGGTCAGCTATCTACCAAAAAAAAAAGCGGAAAGCTGCACAGTATTGTTATAATTTCCAAGTTTGATTTCATCTTACAAGGAAACATTACTTGTAGCCAGAGGCAGAACTTATTAATGCTGTAATTTGAAATAGTCACCTTTCTATCATATTAAGCTAAGAAGTTACTAATACAATAGCCGGTGCAATGCAGTTTTATTGACCAGATTATACTGTTTCTAAGCTATTTAAGTATTGGTCTTATAGGAAAGCTCAAGGAAGTGTACCTTTTAAAATTAATGTTACATTATTTGCAGTTTAGCTGTGGTGGGGTATTCAGCACTTACATCTAGGGTATCCTATCACTCCCCACTTACCAGTTTTTTAAATCTTTACATGAATTTGACAGCACTTGAGATACTACAAGATTAATCATTAAAAAAAAAAAAAAAGCAGAAAATCAGATCAGCAACTTCACTTGAGAACACTCCAGTATGAGCTCCAGTTCTATGTTCCGTCTGGCCTGAGTTGCCTCAGGACATCTGGACAAATTAGGACACAGACACTCACAGCAGGTGCTGACTTGTGCTCAGGCATTACCTCCAGCACATGGAAAAAAAAAAAGAATAGGTGCAAAAAGATGGCAGAGGGCACAGAAAGCTTCTCAAAAACATGCTTTACGGGTTTAGATGTTCTGTTAAAGATTTTGAATATTAACTTACTATAAGAAAAAAAGAGAGAATATTAAAAAAACAAATTATTTATATGCTTTGGGATATCAAACTAATTCCTTGAAGATCATGTATTTTTTAAATAAACACCCAACTACCTCATACCTGAATCTGCACTGAAGGACTAAATAGGAAAATGCTACTGCCCAAGTTTCAAGATACATCTTAAGCTCTATTCTCACAGAATTACCTCCTCTTTTCTTTCTCAGACTGTAGTATATGAAGTAACCAAATCCATCACAAAGTTGCACAACTTCTCTATTGAGGTACCAGATCTGAAATGCTAAGGCTTCCTGAAATCCTTCTACTTATTCATTTTCTCGAGCTAGCCCTGGTTCAGCCATTTAGCAGTAATATTGTTCTTTTCAGAACAGCAGCACAAATTAAAGCTTCTGCTCAAAAGCTCTGTACATCCACTAAAAGCTGTGCTATACTCCTCCTTTTGATAACCAAAGCTCTATTAAACAATATGCTCTTCTTAGATGAGAAGAGTCTGGCAAGTGAGAGCCAAGAGTAAACATTCAAGTTACATGGGATCCCCTAGAAACAGTGGAACATATCCAACAATCCATAATCATTGTCCACTGTCCCTGAAAAGTATAATTAGTTCATGTCCCACTGGGTCACCAATGCAGCAAGAAAAAAAGACATGCTGAAGTCACAATGAGTAAGTGCATGCAGCATGTGAAAGTCCAGTTTGTTGAAAGGTTGACAGATGGAATACTTGAAGTTTTTCTTGCCTCTACTACTTCACAGTGAATATCATAAGAGCTGCAAAATAGCAAGATAAAGCAAAGTTGAGCAAACCTTGTTAAGTGACAATAATTAGAAGAAACCAAGACTCAGAATAGCTATCCTAGTGGGATTTTAAAGTTTGTGAGGACATTTACAACTGGTTTGGGAAGAACAGCATCTGTTCTCTGCCAGACCTGTAAGGGATGTCATTAGACATTTGGCAACTAGATACTGGAAAGTGCAGAATTAGATCAGCAAGTACAGCATGCAGCAATAAGGAAAAGAGAATCACAACCAGCTTCAACCTACTCACCCTGACCTAGATAAAAACCCTGGAGGTAGAAAGGCAGAAACTGCAAGCTGACATAACTTATCACAAAAAGGAAAAACTGGGCCAAATGCATATACAGTATGGTCCTTTCCAACTCCAAGAACTCTACAATCCATTGGTTTTGTTTCTTTGTGTCTATACTCAACAACTTTTCTATTTCAGGGATAAACTCTTTCCTAGAATAAATGCATTTACCCACCTTCTTTCCTATACACCTTTTATAGTCCTACAGTTTGAGGGACTGCCTTTGTTTTCAGCTTCTGCACAGCGGACTAAAGAACTGACACTACTCACTGTGTATCTGGTATTTCGCAAAACCAAGCTGACCAGAAAGGCTTCTGGTTTAAAACCCAGCCTCCTACTTTATTTCTTACTTTTAGGAGTTCCAGACAGGGCTCAAAGCATACCAATTTATCTGCTTCTAGGTTTGGATAGTTGCATTTGGTGGTGATGGGAGGATAACTATAGATTCATGTGGTGGGGAGGGAAAGATGTACTAAAAACTGCTCACAGAGAAAACAGCTGTATCCACTCGATTCTGCAGAAAGCCTGAGAATTTCAGAGTTCAGCTACTTCTGTTTTAGTGCTATGTATTTCAACCACCAAACATTTCACCATGTCATAACTATTTCACTGATATAGATCTCCTGTGTGTGTGGGAAGGCAGATATGGGAGAAACAAAGGCCTTCTGCTTACACAACACATTGAGCCACCACACTTAAATTCCTGTTAGCCTAGCCATGCTAGTTAGGAATCGTACAGATTCAGTTAGGCCCTGCTATGCAGTAAAAGGCAACATGGCAAGGATAAATTATAGTAAGAGACGTACTTCTGCTGGGAGAAGCTATACTTTAAGTAGAAAATACACACTATTAGACCTACAGCAACAAAGCACTTCTTGTTTAGACCCAGACAACCCACTGCATGGGAAGACTACCTGTGTCAGACTTGTTTAAAAAGCTCTAATGAGATATTACCTTTCAGCAGTCTGGTAAACACAAAATTAGATCTCTCCCTCCCCCCAACAAAATATCACATTGTGCACCCAATGTAATGCTGACAGTGCAAATAACTACAGATTACTATACACCAGAACTATGTTCCGAAACATAACACTCACCACAGGAAGAAAGATTTGGAAACAGTTCCCTTATGTAAGCAAGTTATAGCTTTGTTTAGTAGTTCAGCATTTCTAATGTCAATATTATTCATTAATCTCTGTAGGTTAAAGGAATTTTATACTGTCAGTACACAGATTTCAAAGACAGTTTGGGTCCAAAAGCTACAGCTGCTTTCATCAGCACAGTCCATGCTAGCAAATCCTGCTAACAAAGACATTGTTCCCCATGCAATCAGCTCATCCATCTCTATATCGTATTAACAGAACCAGGGATACACCACAAGGACACCTGACTGCACAGCTCATGCTGTCAGGACTCATCAGGGCCAGCTTATTACTATTCTTTCCACTCCTAGTTTCTCAGCTACTTTCCACAGTCAAGAAAATTCTAGGGCAGCATTTTGTTCAGCCCAAAGACTAGCTTTGAACCAGGCCCATACTGCTACCAGTTCTGGAGTTCCAGATCCTCCTGGAATCTACAGAGCAGGAAACAGGAAACAAACGCTTGCATCATATCAGCTACCATGAAGTAAATTAGCTCTACCCCAATCTAAACCTGGGCAGCAGGTACCATTAAGTAAGAGTCACAGGAAAGCATACTTAAGCACTGTTAAACTAATTTCAGGCAGCCGAGCCCACCTGCACAGCATTCTGCTCAGTAACTCAGGTGAGCATCTATCCCAGAGCAAAACAGTTTTTCCAAATAGAAGAACGAAGTCATTTGCCAGCATTACTAGGTTAGAATAAGCTATTGAGAAAAATTAAAGTATCTGGCAGACGTCAAAAACAGAAAAATTAACTATCACATATAGTGATATCATTATATCACTGTAACACTTTGCCTCCTATTACTATTTTTCACATGTGGTAGGAAGCTGCTGTACAGATATTCACAACTGCAACGTTAATGAGATGAGTGCCACGGCTGTATACCACAAGCAGCAAGTTCACTTCCCACTAACACTGCTTTACTGAATCAGAGGTCTAATAAGCATCAGCTCTCCTTGAACGCTCGTAACAAAGTGAGTCTCCACACCACACACTCCTTAGCAAACCTACCATGAGGTATTAAAATACCTTCTATACTGCTCTTCATGAAAAGGAGAAAAAATCCTATGCAGACAAACAGAATTGTCTTCATCCTTCAAAACGACTTCAGAAGGCACACGAGGAATATCAGCTTGAAGACACCTCCATTCTGGCCATACAAGTGAGCGCGCTGCTCACTTACTCACGTTAGTAAAACCAGAGTCTGGGTGTCTACCTACAGATGAATAAGCACCACCAAAATACACATCTCTCCAAGTACAGCAAGGTTTGGCTTTGAACCCAAAGTAGTAAAAACTCAGCCAAAAGTTAACTTCACTAGGAAGATTCTCAATGAATCTACAGGGAAGGAAGTAGTATCTCATGTTTTAAGAGAAGCTGCTCTGAATAGTCTCTTCTAAATGCAGTCTCTTTAGAGAAGCTTTCTAGTAAGCACAGCTTTAACCACGTGTGTCACAGAAGACAGCAATTTGTGACAACTGGGGAAAGTTACTATTTCAGGAACTAAGAAAACTTTACCCTTTGTTTTTAAGGGAACATCAACCTCACACAATACATTGACTCACTGACTTTATAAACAACTCCCTGAAGGACAGTGGAAAACTACTTCCTCCAAAAACAACTCATCACCTTAATAATGACTTTATCTCAGTGAAGGTTTGTTTAATGTGATTCTTGCTATTTTTCTTTCAACAGAGAACAAATTCCCTGTGCTACACCATGATCTATTAATCCAGAAATAGAAAAGTTTACTACAGAGGCCCTGGCTATATAAAAGTATTTTACACACCATAGAAAAACAGACATTAAAAACACTAACTTGGAATAAAAACTTTATTTTTCTTCCAGTTGCAGAACTAAAAAGCTCAGCACTGCCAACATCCAAAACATTTAGTGACTGTACTTTGTTTCTTACTGATCTCTAAAACTCTGGACAGTTTCATGTCTGAAGAAGTTCAGATCAAAAAGTTTAATTCCTTAGCATCAGCACAGATGTCTATGTATATGAACAAACTAGACCAAAAAGAGGGTTTTTTGTCAAGTGAGATGAATTTCATCTACCTAATACTACCTAAGGTCAATACTAATACAAGAAAGTTACTACTTAACTACTGCAACATACAGCATGAGGAACTGAAAGCATGCTTAATTAGGCTTTAAACTTCTAATGGTGCTTAAAGCAGTAAAGCTTCAGCAAGCAATCTTAACGACAACAGAGGCACATCTTAGTTACTGAGGTAGCTCAGTTAAATCATTACAATGTTTTGTTAATGACAGAAATGAATACTACAAAGACATGTGCTTCTTGAAACAGTATGTCATTGCAGATATCTCAAGTGTATTTACGTTGACAGTAAATTATGAATAAAATAAATCATCATTGCAGGGTAGTCAGTTCTATAATGAGAAGGAGGAACTATGCTGATCAACCGTGTTAGGACAACTTCTGATTTCAAATCAGTGAAAAAAGTCATCACATTCTCTAGCCATAGCAGATTTGGAAAAAAAACTGAAATAAAAACAAATACAGGTGTGTTATAAGCTGCTCTGAAAGTAATGCCTCCTATTTATTTCCATGGAACCTATAACAGATACAAACTACACAATATCTGTTTGATAGAGCAAATGCTCAGCTACAAAACACTGTTTTTCAGCACAGTCACCACCAGGAGCCACGCACTTTCACCAGTAAGAAACAGGAGACCACATATCACACTCATAGAAGTCTGCACTAGCAAAGGTACCCCACTGCTGCTGTCATCGCTGCTGAAACACACCACCCACCACCTCACTGTGCTCACATCCACTGTTGGGTCTCATTCAGTAAGTGCTGATGAATGCCAGTGGGTACCATTTCCTCCTCACGGAGCAGTTCAGTTCTGCACCTTTGTTTCATACACACTTCTGTTGTCCAACACCATTCTGTCGGACATCCCTCTGCTGCCATCTGCCACATGGCAACAAAATGTAATGAAATATTGGCAGGAAGATTCAGCCTCTACTGCCATACCACCAACATCCACCTCTGATATCGTGGGCCAATACAATAAGACAGGCAGCATTACTTTTGGAGCAGTCCTCAACTATATACACACATACAAATACATACATGGATGCATACTTTAGACCTGTGCATACATATACATATATGCTCACATGTTTTCCTTTATACTTGGAAAATGTAAACTCTAACATTGCTTTACAATCTAATCTTATGCAAAGAGACTCCTATATACTTTACCTAGACCCACAAAAGGTTCTTTATTGCTCTCCTTATGCAAAAAGTCAACAACATGCTGTAATATTTACATTGTTCAACAGCTTTAACAAACCATAGCAATTTCAAAAAGCTACTAAAAGATATTGAGAAAATGTTGTACTGTCAGGCAGTTTAGACCCCATTCCAGCTTTGTCTAGAGCAATCACCCACTGAACAACTAACAACTAAGACATTTCAACAAGTAACACTTATTTCTTAGGACAGGAAAAGAAATTGCTACTTGTATTTTCATTCTTAAAGCTGACAGTTATGAACGAGGCTAAGTTTACAGAAGTTGAGTGTCAGCATTTTAACCAATGATGAGCTTTACAAGAACACGTTAGTACAATATTCCACTGACTACAATCAATAACTCTTCTGAAACAGATTACAGATCCTATCAAAGTGAAACAGAATCTTTCCATATTTGGAGTAGAAGTCGCCTCCAACTTCTTAATGCTACAGCACAGTATTGAAATGCAAACCTCATCCACAAATTGAGGACAGCAACAACGGAATCCAGGGTTTACATTCTACAGAGGGCCCCATAAGATGCAATCCAATCTATATCAGATCTCATTTTCATTTATTAAAAAAAGTAAAATAAAGACAGTACACTAGAACTTCATTTCTTCAAAGCTGACACAAGTCCCTCTAAACATACAAGATCATCTAATCCTTAGAGGAAATAATGTCTCCTTTTCCTTCTTCCCTTCAAAGACCTTCAAAATTCCACTATATTTTTATTGAAGAAAAAGGCTATTGAAACTATTGTAAGGCTTCCTAGCACCTACCCCACAGAAATACATCTATAAGTAATTCATTCATGTTTGCCATGGTTGATTCTTTCAGGAGATGCTGCTGCAGTCAGCCTAAAGGTCGGGGCATGCAGAGTTTAAATAAATGCATAGTGCCTAACATCAAGGAAAAGGAGGAAAACCTGTCTCTTAAGATCTGACCATGTGAACCTAGGCTGGTCAGGCTAGGTAATAGCACAACATTCTGATCATCAGCTACTGAAGTGAAACTAGCTCCTTAGGAGTATCCCTTCAAATGAGCTTAGCTTTAAGACTCCTGAGTACTTGTTACTTAAAAAACCTCAGGTTTTGTTTAACTACTATTTCAAAGTTGAATATTAGAAATGCTTATCACATGGTATTCTGTAATTAATACTTACTTCATTTCCATGTTTCTGCAGAAATTCTATTTCCTGTTGTGTGAAAGTTGTCATTGAAATTGACTTCACTCTGTGGGGTGGATTCAAGCCCCGTCTAAAAAAAGAACGAAGAAGCATTTTGTCAGTATTCAGGAAATTCGTCATCACACAATCACTTTTAACATTACAAACTGAAGCCAACTCATCTCAAAACTGCATTCAGAGTGCAAAGTCAAATAACTGAATTTTAGAGATCAAAGTTGCACATGCAAACTTATGAGGACAATTATACCTCTTTTGAAACCTTTATCTGTTTCCACAAACTTGTTCATCTTTTCCTTTACATTTCTCAATCTTGGGTCCCTCCATCATCATTTTCTTGCCCTCCCAATCCTCCTGCACTTGACCCCGCTCTAACTGGAGTAGATTTCTGCCTGCTAGATTTCCCAGCTCAGATTTTTTTCCTCTTGCTCTAACCTCCCAGAACCTTTCTCTAGATTATTTTTTGCCCCTCTGTCCACAGGTCTGTCATCTTCTTTCTGAACACCACAAGTAACACCAACAGAAGAAAGTCAAGTTTCCGATTGTGCTCTCAAAATAGTGGAATAGCTCAAAGCTGCAGCAGCTCTGCCTCAGACAAAGATGGGCACATTCTCACATCCATACACTGCTCAAAGCAGGACTAAAAGAAACCAAAAGTCAATTTTGTTGCCAAAGCTTGATACTGTCAAAACCAGTTCAGTGAAAACGTGCAAGCATAGAAAAATCCTGCTGAGTAACACAGCAAGTATAAGAAAATGCTTTCCCTTCAAGCTTTTTCCTTAAGTACATGCTAAGCACTGCTTTTTGCCCACAAATACTCGCAATTAAAATCAAACTGTGTTTTGTTCAATGAAAGGAAGAACATTACAGCCCACATATACCAAACAGTGGGGGCACCAACAGGTAGTACAGCCGTGTTACCTTAATCACGTCTAGATTTATTTTTTTTGATACTGTCTTAAAAAGAACGTACACTAAGTTAATTACGAGATAACCACAAAATATTGCACTCTATGCATGCAAGAAGGCCATCTCCAGAGAAGATGAGGAATGCTCTACAGGAATGTAATACAGGGCCAGCAAATGGCTAACAAATCAACTGATACAGTTAGCTTTGTTGCTTATATTTGTTATTTATTTATTAATTTAATTAATATTAAATTTTAATTTAATATTCATTAATTGGCAGTTTGGTTTAGATCGCCTTTAGGAATACAAACCACTGACAACTAATTTAAGCTGAGCAGCAGTTTTGTTTAAACTCTGATTACTCCAGGAATGTTAATTATGATGTCACTGTTTAGACCTACTTTGCCCACTTGATTAATAAAAAGTTAATCTTTGTAGATAAGTTTAAAAAGTAATTTTTTTTCAGTACCGAAAAGCCTAACAGAAAAAACCTATTGTAAAGTTTTCATGCAAATTCACCTTGCTGTCTACATCCACTATAAAATGTCAATGCTGATTCTTGTGTTTAAAAAAAAGGATAGAGTTGATTTCCACATGAAAAGTTGGATACTGCTAGGAAGGCTAAGCACGATGTATAGCTTAACCATTACTTCAAAAACTGTAGATTTAAGACGCTCACTGTTCAAAACACTTGGGTAAACACAAACAGTTCATTGTACCTTGCCAAGACATACATGAACTTGCAAGTACTGGAAAAACAGAAGTCACACATGAACCTACTGGCCTATGAAAATTAGTTTCACAGAACGTTATTTGCCTAAAGCAAATTTTTTTCAAACCTGAACATCTAAAATTAGACTCCACAGTTCAGTATCACAGCAAGAAGGCACGAGATATTTAAGTAGGAAAACACATGTACTTGCTCTACACTGATTTATTAGGGCTCTCACAGCTTTTAGGAGAGCATAAGTGCGCCATCAGTTCTGTTAAGCACCACACTAAGCACATTTAAAGCACTGTACTAGATGGTGTTCAGCCTGACTAGAGGCTTCCTACACACCCCACCACCTCTCTCCAGTGCAGACTGCTCTCCTGTTTTAAAGTTTGTGTTATAAAGCTCAAGATGCCCGGATTTACAAGTTATGGCTGCAATGTACAAGACGACAACTCATCTCTTCTACATCCTTCTGTTAAGGAGGGAAATACGCCCCATCCCTACAGGTCAGAGCCTAGCACAGAAGCATCTGATGTCTTGCATGATGGAAGAGCACACCACTGAATCACTGATCTAATAAAACGTGACATTCTGAACTTTAATGGTCAGAAATACAAAGTTATTGTTCAAGCTGCATTATCATACATATGAGTAACTCTTAAGTTCATTTAAGATGACCAGGGGTGGGAGAAAGCCTAAGAAGATCTTCTCGCATATTGGAAGCGCAAAAGAAATCAGCCTAGACCAAATAGTTCAAGGGGCTGTATTGCACAGCATGGAAACACAACCCAAAACACGTGCACAGTTTCTTGATAAAATCACTTCGATTTTTACAATCAAAACATCTTAAAAACATTTTTAATATGATTTACTACTACTAGTAAGAGTTACTTTCAAACATGCTATACCCATGAACCAACTAGAATCTCCCTAGAACAGTCCAGTAACTGGATTTAGAAAGGAGAAGTCAAAACAGAAAACTAAGTACTAAAGCTCTGGCTCGCAAGTCCTAAGCTATATTACCCTTCCTTGCCTACAGGAATTACAAGTGATTCACAAGCAATTCAGATACCTCCAGGAGAAGCTTAATGGTAGACAGCAAAGTACAGTTATCCCTTAAGAGGAATTAAGGACATTTTTTATCCAGACATAGAAAACAAGAATTTACCTAATACTTGCTTTGTTTCTTTTATATATTAGGTGAGCACTTTGCACAGTTCTAATGCATCACAGTATTCCTATTTAATTCCTATTTAAGGAGACAAATGAATTATAATCCTTTAGTCAGAATAATAATGCCTAAACTCAAATTGACCCCAAACATATATTTGTAACCCATACAGGTGCAGCAGTACCAATTACTCCTTTCTGTGCTGCAAAGCTCCTCAGGATGACCCTACAGCGCTTAATCCAGATCGCAGCCATCTCCTCAGAGGCACTCGGGAAGGATGACTGAGTCAGATGACCATTCTGCCAGGCTGCATGCAGCCAGCATGCCATAGCTACAGCATCCCACACTTCCATCCTGCTCATGAATACAAGCTTCATACTCAGAAATGATTATTCCTGCAGAACAGCACTGCAACCAGAACCTCCAGTTCTGAGACTGTCCTGCACTGACTTGGTCCACGCTGTCAGTGATAGTTCATCAGCTGGATACTATGGCAAACAGAGCAAGGTTGTTCTCCAGCAAGTACTGGTAGAACTTGTGCTCTAACAGAGGAAGCTTTAAGGCCAGCAGCACAAGACCACAAAGTCTGGGGATTTAAACATTCAACATTTAAGACACCATCAATGAGCACCAAAGGTTTGATACTAATACAATTTAGAGCTAGTTTAGGTTGAACTTGTGATTGCTGGGAGAGCAGCCGTTTCTGTGCTCTTCTCCAACAAATGACAGCAACATTTCAGAGAATACCAGACAGGGCTGGAACACAAGTTTCTATTTATAAATGCTTAGAAGTGGGCTTTGTTGGTTGGGATAGAGGGGCACTTCCATGGGAGGAATGGTGGGCAGATGGTTATTCAACACCATTAATGTCACCCTACGTCAGATTCTAACATGATCTCAGGTCTAAGCCAGCAAAATCTGATCCCCAAAGAAGAGGGAAGTTACTGAGGCAAAGCAAATGCGAGGCCCTTGCACAGAACCCTACATTCCTATGTGCCTGAAAATGAGTTTTGGAAGCCTAGTGTCACCACACTCGTTATTTCTACACTATTGTTATTAGCAATAAGTGAATATAAGCAGTACTGACCATTCTGGGTACTTGAAGACTTCCCTGGAGACCTTCCACCATCTCACAAGTTCACTTTATTTTTAACAGCAAAAGACTTACATACTCAATCAAGGTTAATTTAGCCTTTTTCTTGGACTAAAAAAAAATCCTTCCTGAGCTTCACAGTATTTACCATGGCACAGACATTTATCTAGCTTTCCAGCCAGCACATAGAAAAAAGAATGAATGTATAGATACATAGCACAGAGCCATTTTCCAATGATGATAAGGAAAAAAAGGAACTGGGGAGCTACGCCAACAGTCAAAATCACCTTCACTCTAGCACTGCTCATTTAGACATTTTAATTTCTGCAGAATTCTTCTGGAGAAAGGGACAGCAAGCCACAGCCATTACACAAAGATTTATTGTTTAGTCTGTTACTGGTATCAGCCATTAAACACTCCAATCTGGCTGATACAGAAGTCCCTCAGCCAGAAAGTTTTAACATTTCAAATAGGGATATTATAACCAGCCAACGGAAGTCCACATCATCCAATAACTGTAAGAAATTGGATAAAACAGCTTTTTCATTCCCCACAGTAACAATATGTTCTAAATACTCTTACTCGCTCCTTCCTGCAAGCCAGGAGTGCCAGCATCTGAATAAGAAAGTTCCCCAGGAGGTTGGAGGGGGGAGAAAGAGTGGTGCCAGGGAGGGGAAGGGTAGAAGAGGAGTCCAGATGATCATCAGCAGATTTTTAGAAAAGCTATCCACCAGGCAAGGGTACATCAAGAGTACAGAACTGGAAGTGGACTCATAGTCAAACAGGTAATCTTTTTTTCAAGAATTTACAAACACCTTAATTTTTGATAACTAGGAGAAAGCTGAGCAGGAGAGCTGCTTGAAAGCAAAGACAGACAAGAGACAGCTGAGAAACAAGTCAAAACAGCACGTGATCAAGACAAAGAGAGGATGTCACTATCAGCAGAATACACTACGGCATCCAAAAACACTAGACATCACTACCAAACACAATGATGTGATGTGTATATTTCTACACATCTTGCATTCTTTTCCAACACCAAAAAGCAGGATTGGGCACAGCTTCCATGATTCTATGCAGCTTTC